AGAGCCTTAGGAACACGTGAATATCTTCAGGATTCTGTAGTTCCATAAAAAAGATGCTTCAAATATTCTCTCACAATTTTATTCCCTTAAGTCTTAGGCTCCTTATTCTTGGTTTCTTCTTACTCTAGAGCTCCACCCAATTGATTCTGATCCCAAGTTTAAAAATTTTTATTGACACATAATACTCATACATTTATGGGGTACAGTGTGACCATTTGTTACATGTATATAACATGTAAATGATAGAATCAAGATAATTTGCCTTTCATCTGCTTAAACAGTTTTTATTGTTTTGGAAAACCTCAAACTCTTCTAGTTTTTATAAAACATGTGATACCTCGTTGTAAACTATGTCACCCTTCTTGGCTGTAGAACACTAATACTTACTCTACCTCCCTGTGTTTGGGTATCCATTCCTGATCCCCTGCCCCACCTTTTTTTTCATTGGCACTGGGTATTGTTCCTAGGGTCTCACGCATGTGAGGTACATCCCAGCCCATATTTTCCTGTTTTTTGAATCTATTACTTAATGTCCTGCTAACATCTCATAATTCAGACAATAATTAATCCCACAATTTTTACTTCTTTTATTGACCATAATCCTGATTTTTCTTCTGCCCACTGTACTATAGGCTACTTTAGGTAAAAATCTTGGTGCAGCCTGAGCCTGACACCTAGAGTTCTTAACTGGTCCCATCCTAGACATATTAGGACACACGTACTGCACACATCATCTCCATGAGCTGAGGCTAGTGACTTGGTGTCTGATGATCATCTTCTAAGAGCAATAATAATTTTTCAAAATAGCACAAACATTTAGTACCAAACCTGGTGAATAGCATGAAGATTTGAACTCTATAAGGAAAATAAAGTATAAAATAGTGGCTACAAAGCCATGAGGCTGGAGTATCCTATGGCTCTAAGTGCTGCATTGAATCACTTGCTGTGGACGAAGGAATGCTGCTTCCACCTGCAGCCAAGGTTCATATTTGCTCTCACTACCTGCAGGTCAGCTGGCCTCTGCTTCCTGCTGACTTCATTCTGCATCCCATACCAATGGGACTCATCTCCCAAGAGGGGAAAATGACACACAGTGAACCACACAAACATTTGGGGATACTGATGGTAGACCAGGAATAAGCATAGATGGTTAAAGGGAAAGCTAATTAAGGTGTTTTTAAAAAGTGTTTTTGGTTTAGTTTTATATATCTTTATTAGGGGAGAGCACTCATGTTTGATATGTCTCCAAAAACTTTGAAATATTCATTTATCAGTAATGTATGGTTAAATAAAAACGACAACAATAAATATACATTCGTATTATTTTGGGGTTAGTGCACTTTTATATTGGCATTTTAAATTTAATTTTCCTAATTGCATTTTGCCTGAGTTAATATAAAAATGAACTTATATTTCCCAAGCATGGGAAAATAGATTACCCCAAACAGAAACAGGCAAGCCGACTATTTGGCTATGGTCATCCCTCATGCTGGAAGATGATCTATGTGTGGAATCTCTGGATAGTGTTTATGGGTCAGCTTAAGTCAAAAAGTCTGGTGCATCATTTGCAATGCTCAGGTTGGATTTACCTGAAGAATTTCATTTAAAAACAAAAGAAACTCATGGAATAAACATGCTAACGATTAGTGCCAGGATTCACAGGAATGAATAAGAGAAGCTGGTAGTTCTCCAAGCCCACGTGGGAAGGAGGGAATCATCAGAATTGGCGCTGAGGGCAGGTCAGGCCAGGCAGGAGGAATTGGGAGGCCCAGGCAGCAAGGCCCTTTTCTCCACTGGGAAGGCTGGAACCTAACTTCATGGAGGGAAGAGGAGACACATGCAGGCAGGAAGTTATATCTCATTTTGTCTTCCCTCCATGCCTTTAGCTCGGGGTTTCCGACGTGCAGGGAGAGGATAGAAAGGGCACTCTGTCAACGCTCCATCATACAATCCTACAAAGGAAACAGATTTTAAAAGCTGCAAGAAGGATTTATGACTTCAGGGACCTTTGTGAGTCCTTTTATTAGCCTAGTACATCACCTCTCTCCCATCTTTATGCTGACAACACTTCTCAGCCCTTCTCTGGATTTCTTGTCAAACTGGGCAACTATATAAAATGAACAAACAAGAGCTGCTGCACAGAGCTGATTGATTCCAGCGTGCGCCTGCACCATTAGGAGCAATCTGATTCTGCTAAGAGGTTCCCTTATGCAGTCTTCCAGTGGGGGAATCTTGGATTGTTTCTGACAACTATGTGTTTTTAAGGAGTTTTATTTTTTTCTTATGGTCTTCCTAAGAGCATAAGTCAACATGTAAAGAGCCCAACACACTAGCCTAAATAGTTCTACAAAAGTTGTTTGAAAGTTTTGAGTTGGCTCTGATGACTTTGGCTTGGTCATTAAGGTCAGTTAATGGTGCAGGCCTCTTCAAGCCTGACTCCCTCCCCCACCCTTTCCAGTTGCTTCACTTATGAATGTGAAGTTCAGAAGGGGCAGCCCAGTTGTAAAGCCCTCCTCTGAAAAGCCTCCCTTGATTCTTCCAGATCATTAATGTCTTCTCCCTCTCAACAACAAAAATTAATAGCAAAATTCATAGTTATAAAAATTTGATGGTCATCTACATGTTCTCTTGACCTTAGTCTAGGTACACAGACTCACCGGTTCTCTTCAACAATCCTAAAATGACTTTACGGTGATTTTCTGAAGCCCAGCATAGTTCAGTGACTTGTCCAGGAAGATACAACAAGAAAGTGGACTTTAACCTAAAAATAGGCAGATGACTCCAGAACCTGCATTCTTAACTTTTTTTTTTTTTGTGGGCTCTGTTTTAAATTCTTAATGGCACAAAACTTCAGGAACAATTAGAACCCCAGTAGCCATCATTTTCCAAATGCTGTGCAAAGCTAACTTCAGTGTTTTCATTTGACTTAGTGAGATGTGAACATTCTGTTCATGCTCTCTACTTTTGGATTACTGATGAGTAAAGAAGGATAGAAAAGAAGCGAAACCAAGTGTTGCCCTGTCTTTGCCTTTCCTTCAATGCCATCATTTTCAGCATAAGAAACAGAAAAGTAGGAGAGGATCTAACAGGCTTCCTTAGTTGTTCATATTTCTTGGAATGCGATTCTCTTCTTTCTCTATTTTGAATAGTTCTGGTTCAAAGGGAAAGAGTGGCCTCTTGGGCAGTCAGTCCTTGCCCCATCTACTAGTCATAGATGCAATGCACCTAGTGTTTGTTTTCAATCTCTCTGACCTTCCATCTGTGTCAGGTCCACTGGAATTGTGTGGGCATGAGGCATCTCTAGTGCTCTGCGGTAATGCAGTGGCAATGGACTGAGGCAGACTCGCTACCTGTGCTATTGCCTCTGCTCAGTGCATGCTCCATGCTCTCATTGGGCTTTACTTACAAAATACAAGTTCAAAAAAAAATTATTGTGAAAGTGACAACAGAGCATCCAGCCAAGTGCAGGGCCCTCTGAACACAGCTTTATGTGACTTACACACAGGTTGCATGTACATGAAGCCGCCCTGGCTACAAAGGAATTAGTTACTTTAATTTTCATTTTTCAGAAATGGACTTGGTAACTGCCACAGTCTGGCTGGGCACAAATCACGAGCCACTCAAGCAGGAACAAACTTTATTTCCCAACTCCCGTGAAAGCCACGCATGTGGCCCTTCCAGGCACACCACACACCAACCGGAACTCCCTCCACCGGAACTTCACCAACCAATGCGAACTCCCCAGGAATCCCCGTGAGAACTCCAAAGTAGCAGGCGCCCAAGGCAGACATCAGGGGTCTATATAGAATTGAATACACAGCCTGTTTCAATCTAGCATCATCTTAATGGCTCGCCTCTCACATTACTTCTGGCAAAATGCCAGGGGCTATTCTGACTCGGCTGTGGCTCTCAACAGGTAACTTAAGTCCAATAAATGGAAATTGCAAAAGTCTGGATTTGAACCTAGGTCTGTCTATCTGAACCCAAAGTTCACACCCATAACTATTTAGTACAGTAACTCAGTTATGCAATTGTCTAAATTTTGATTGATTTTAGTTATCTAAAAATAAGCATTAAAATGTGAGTTATAGAAAGTTCAAATTTTTCTTCCTTTGTAGTCATTCTCCATGTAGCATTTAACTAATGCACCATACCTTGTATTGCAGTTTATATTTTTCTAAATACTTTACCAATACATTATTTCATTTGATAACCAACACAATCTTAAGAGAACCAGAAGCTGTTATTCATTTTGTAGGTGAAGAAATTGAGGCTCAGAGGCAGAAAGTGACTCCTCCAGGTAGCATGCAGCAACAAAGCAGTTTTCTCTAAAGGAGACAAAACCAGCCCTTACCAGATGCAAAATCTGCCAGTTTCTTGATCTTGGACTTCCCAGCCTCTAGAACTGTGAGAAATATATTTTCATTATTTATGAATTATCTAGTTTTAAATATTTTGTTATGGTCCTATGTATTAGTCCATTTTGTGTTGATTTAAGAGAATATATGAGGTTGAAAGTCCAAGATTAGGTGGCTCCATCTGTTCGTACTCTGGTGCGGGCCTCGTGGCTGCATCACAACATGATAGAGAAGCAGAAAGGGAACCAATTGTGTGCTGAAGTGTGTAGGGTAAACTCGTTTTATAATAGCCCTCTCTCCTGAGAACTTGCCCTGTGGGACCATCATTAATCTCTCTGAGGATGGTGCCCTCAAGACTTAACCATCTCCTACTGCATCCCACCTTTTACACATTTTACCAGCTCAGCATCAGAACACAGGAGAACAAGCCTCCAGCACCTGAACCCTTGGGAAACAAACTACATCCAGCACAAACAGACTAGACAACAAACCACCTCTTGAGTCGGAACTAAAATAAATACCGTAGGACTTGCACACACCAGTGATAGGAAAGGAAGAACACTGGGTCATAAAGCAAAATGAGGTTTTTATACAATTCCCTTATGTGACAGAGAGCATGGTTAGTGGAAGGAATCTGTGAGCTGAGGTCTCAGACTGGGTCCAAGTACAGCTCTGCCCCTTCATTGGGAAAACTTGGCTACTTTCATTTCTGAGCCTCAAAGTCTTCATATGCTAAAAGAAACATTAGTATTTACCTTGAAGGACTATTGCATCAGATGAGAAAACAGCTGGAGCCCTTAACAGTGAGTTTCCCTGTCCTGTGGATCATGATCTACAGGTCATTCCTGCAGTGGAGAGCTCAGCATCCTCTGCTGCAGGGAAGCTCGCTGCCAGACATGAACTTGGTGAAGGAAAGCTCCGAGGGTCTTGCATTGATTCTTCTTCCTCCCAGTCTCTGCTTCTGCTTCTATCATGTCATCAGCATTTGGTTTTGAAGAAGAAACACCATCAGGTACTGTGATGAATACATAAAGATGTGCAAAATGTGCTGGGCTGTGAACATTGCAGTCTTCCTGCAATACTAGTTGAGAGATTTCATTGTGAAATCATTTTAAAGGATGAACTAATGGGTAGTTTGGCTGTACTCATTAGATTTGAAATCATTATTAATTTTTTAGTACCACAATAACATTGATTCAGATGAACCTTTATAACACAGAAAGTGTATAGTATTTAGGAGTAATTAACATCCTTTAATTAGGAGGAATTGCCAAGTAGTTTTCTCTCTTGGCTCTGTTGTAGCTAGTGCAGCTGGATGAAATTTAATCACAAAGGAAACAGCTTGTGTTTTATGTTATATTTGCCTTTAATGAATTAAAATATTCGTTGGTATTATATTTTATCATAAAAAGGTACATTTGAATCATCAATGTTACAAAATGTGAATAGTCCAAATGCCATAAACCTTATGGATAAAACCTTTCACCTAGATATGCACACACAGGGTATAAGTAAGTTTAGAAACTTGATCTGTCTGTCCATATGCTCACTAAGTTGTGTAGATCTTAATACTGGCTTTGCTATTTTTATTCCTCTAGGATCACAATATAAAGTTTCATATTTTCATGTGCATTTAGAGTAAATGTTACTCCTTGCTAACCAGAGAGGCATTTAGGCAATCGCTGGGTATGAAAATTGCTGACATTTTCTGAATTTCAGATGACAAATGAAATGCTCCTGTCAGTTTACTGTGTAACTCCAGAGCATATGGTGCTTCTGCTGGTGGGTGTTATTTCAAAGTTTGCAAATCACACCATGAGAAAGTCCCTCTGGTGGGCTCCTGGAATACTTAGCAACTGTGAATCTGAAGTGACAGTACAGAGAGAAGGGACAAAAAAAAAAAAACATAGCTTTTTACCCTTTTTTTTTTTTTGACAAGGAGAAGGCAGTACAAAGTGAATGATAAGTTAATTCAGGGAGGTGGAGGGGTAGAAGTACTAATCTAGCAAGAGAAAAAGAAGCAGTTTCTCCTTTTATAGGACAAACTAGGAAAATCATCTAAATTCTTAAAACAGTGTTTAATATCAGAGTTCAGAGAAAGAATAAAGATTTAGGCAATGACTAGAATTAGAGGAATTGTCAAAGACCCTAACAAAAGCTTAGAAAAAGGAGGAAAGTGTCGTTTCAAGCAGTAGAGAATGGTGACAAAATTGTATCTCTCCCTGAAATCACAAAACAACTCCAAATAATGAAGACTTGAAAAGAAAGCCTCTTGCCATTCAAGCTGGGGAAGTTTATTTAAATCTAGTTCCCAGCAGAGCCTCATTTCTTTCATTGCGTCTATTTTAATGGGGCACTTTGTTTTGTTCAATAATGCCTGCCTTCAAGAGCATTTCTGCAGTGGTCAAGCAACCAGTCAATTAAATGGAAAAGCCAGTGAAATTGGTTGCTGGGACTAATTGATCAGCCAGTTCCTCTGCAGTAGTTTTCCAGCTGTCCTCAGGACACTGTCCAAGGCTCGTGTTTTTCTTGTGTATTCCTCCTTGGAATCCAAAACTTTCCACTCGTCTTCCACCCCCCACACGTTTTTTTTTTTTTTTTTTAATTTTATGCCTAAAGGGTACAGAAGAGATGTGAGTGACCTAAAATGATGACATTTCTCTAAAAGTTGAAAGTAATTTTACCCCCAAATTAATGGAACCCTAGATTTTTCATGTGGGAAATGCAGAATCTTTAGAAAACTATGCAAGTGTGCTGACTGGCCTTGAATCTCTTCAGGTCTTCTTAAACCTTCAGGTATTAGGAGTAGATCTCAGATAATAACGACAATTAATAAATGAAATGCATTCCATTGTAAGTATGACATGTGAATTATATCACACAATCCTCACAGTCACACACAAACTTACTATCGCCATTTCACAGATGAGGAAATTGAGGACAGGGAGACCAAGCATCCTACTCAAGTTTCCTTGGGAAGTGGTGTAGCATTTACTTCTCTGTAGTATTGATGCACAAGAAAATCTGATTAGTTTTCCTTTAAAACCTTCAGGCCCCCCAAACTCCCACACACTCACCAGCCCTACGCTGAGTCATTACAGACCCACATTTGTGTTTTATGACTCTGACTTTTCTTCTCAGGCTATATAGGTCATTGGATCTAAGGGTGGATCATATATAGGCTGCACTGGGCTCATCGTTTCTTTTTGATAATCAAAGCTGCTGGACTTATCTTAGGTTTGGGGTAGCACAGAGGTACCTGAGCAGGAAGAAGAGGCTAGCAGGCTGACACAAACAAGAATCCTAGTAGAGATCAGTGGGCATGAGGGACCGTGTTAACCTTGGAGAGACGGAAAAAGCAAACTCTGTTGTTGGTGCTTTCTATTCCCCATTCTTAGCTACAGATTTGATGGACTTCTTACAATTGAGTTTTGTGGGAAATCCCTCTGATCTGCTGAAACCCTTTATTTATTCTTTATTAACCATGTTTGAGTGAGTTTTTGTTATATATATATATATCTCCAAATGATTTGTTATAGTCAGGTTTTTCACTGCTGTGACTAAAAAATATGACCAGAACAATTGCAGAGGAGGAAAAGTTTATTTGAGAGCTCACAGTTTCAGAGGTCTCAGTCCATAGACAGCTGGCTCTATTCCTCAGGGCTCAAAGTAAGGCAGAACATCATGGCGGAAGGGTGTGGCAGAGAAAAGCCACTCATATAATGATCAGGAAGCAGAGAGAGACTGCCTTTACCACACACAAAGTATATACCCCAAAAGAAAGGCCTCAGTGCCTCACCTCCTCCCACCACACTCTACCTGTCTTTTTTTGTGTGTGTGTGAGGAGGCGGTACTAGGGATTGAACTCGGGGGCACTTGGCCACTGAGCCATATCCCCAGCCCTATTTTATAGTTTATTTAGAGACAGAGTCTCACTGAGTTGCTTAGCACCTTGTTATTGCTGAGGCTGGCTTTGAACTCATGATCCTCCTGTCTTGGCCTCCCAAACTGCTGGGATTATAGGCATGTGCCAACATGCCCAGCTCTACCTGTTTTCAGTTACCACTCAATTAACTCTGTCAGGGGATTAATTCACTGATTGGGTTAAAGCTCTCATGACCCAATCATTTCTCCTCTAAGCCTTCTGATATTTTTAGATACCTATGGTTATCTAAACTATAACATGTTTCTTAAGAAAATTATGACTCTTCTTGGAGGAGCTTATATTCTACCTAACCCCAGCCACTCCAGACCAGGTATTCATTTATGGACTTCAAAAATGCACTTCTTCTTCCCAGTATTGATACTTTTATCAGAAGACAGGACTGACAGAATGAAAATAAAGATGCTAAGTACCTCTTATTGCCATGAAGACTATGAATGAGTTTTAACAATATAGTTTGTCAAGTAACCCACTATATGTCTCTTTCATTTAAAGAGACATATTGGTCTCTTTAAAAATGTTTGTTTTCCTCAGTTCCATTTATTCAGTAAAATATAGCAAGTATGGGTTTTATAATTTATAGGTTATGCCTCTGGAAATCTGTTCTTCCATAAATATGTTAACACACATTAAAGTGGATGTCTCTATTTTGAATTGGGGACATGTACGTGGCACAGTACATTAAAAGTGGAGTCAGGCTGGCCCATAATAGCTATTGCTACTTTGTAGGCTCAGAAGAGTACGTGACTCACCAAAAGAGTTCAGAGAATGCTAACTAGCATTAATTATCATTTTGGTATCATCATTACACTTTTGGTCTCTTTCCTTTTTCAACTGCATCATTCCTACACTCTTTTGATTGGTACTTACCAATATTGTTCTTTAAATTCAGTGCAAGACATCATTGATGAGTAAATTTGATTTATAGTAACTGTTTTCCCTTTCTTAAAAGTAATGGTCATTAACTTTCTGTATCTTATTTGCTTGTGAATCTATTGTTTTTCAGTATGTCTCCAAGAAATATAGAAAAACACTCAAAGATTCTCTGTAGATTTTTAGTTTGTGTTATAGTTTTATAGAATGTAAAAATTGTTCCTTCCTTCCTTCCTTCCTTCTTTCCTTCCCTCCCTCACTCCCTCCCTCCTCCCCTCCATCTCTCCCTTCCTCCCTCCTTCCCTTCTTTCCTTCTTTCTTTTTTAAAAAAATAGGATATAAGAAACTACTGATCAGAGATGTCTTACCAGAACCAAATTAAATGTACTTTCCAACTCTTTCCTTTGTCTATGATTCTTTAGTAATTGAGGATGTACATCTCAAGGGTGGTTTGTAATGATAACCAACAAAATCTAGAACATGGATTTTGATGCAGCTCTTCCAGTCTTATGCTTTTATTTAATATCAAAATATAAGAGAAATAGTGTAAGAAAGAGTTTAGTGCAGAGAATCAAACAGGAAGCCATGACAGGAAATAGTAGGTTGTATGTTACTTTAGGATATATCTTCTGCTTATAGCTTCACTCTCAATCAATGTCGATTAAACTAACTGATTTTTTAATTCTGCCTTTAGTACACTGGAAGTAGAATGTTTTCATCCATCATAAGTTAGTGTATTTCTTCAGAGCGGCAGAATAAACAGCTTGGTGTTTACGGCAATACTATCATTTCATTTATAGAATAATAATACATATAGGAAGAGAGGACAAGCTGTAGTTTTATGCTGTGTATCTCTATGCAAGTATCTATTACTATTCTATCCCTTTTAGTGAAGATACTGTTGTAACTTTTTATCACAAAATGTTACCCCTGACAGGTATTAGACCAAGCTGCTTGGATGAGCCACTCATCCTAAAAATGACAGAAGTCCAGGTCGTCATCAGATTCAGCATTGGGGGAGCATACATAACATCTGTTGCAAGGACTACCTTTGTAATAACAGGATTTCCAGGTGTTCTGTGGATGTCAGTGCTCAGAAAATATAGGCTGCTGTGTCGTTGTGCGAAAGGAAGCCTCCAGGAGTTGCCGGTGCGTGAACTCAGATGTGAGCCGTGAAGGAGTGCCAGCTGGCGAAT